TTTTTTTTTTTTTTTTTTTTTGAAAAGTGTATTGAGTTCTTATTTCTTTATCGCTTTTTTAGTTTTTATTTTATGCATTACCTCTATTGAAATAATTTAGTAACGAGTTGGGTTCAAAGGTAACATCTTTGTCTCTGGAATTGGAAGAAGCCAAAGCTCATTTGGTAAAGCAGCAAAAGACGTCTGAAGATTTAGAAATTGAAAACAAAAGACTCTTGGCAAAGGCGAACATTGAAGAAGAAGTGGTCACCTTGGCCACTTCTTTACAGTCGGAAAGGGAAGAAAAAAGGTTTCTAATTTTGTGGATTCTTTAAAGTTATTGCAGTGCTTTTTGTCTGTAGTAATTATGAGGCTGCGCAAATATTCTTCTTTTCAAAGACTTCTGGCCTACCATTAGAGTTTCATTTTTAGCACTCTCCAGAAGGAAATTCTGGATGCTCGGAAACAGGTGCACGAGTTGCAAAAGGAAAATGAAGAATTAACGAAGCAGCTTAGTGAACAAATTCAAGAGCTTCAGGATGACAAGCTAAAATCATCGGATGAGACTGAAGTATTAGTTAAAAGGATTGAGAAAATGAAGGTGATTGGTTTGATTTATGTGAGGTTTTCTTTCTGGATTTCAATGATTCAATGTGGTATTTTTGCAGAGAGATATACAAGAAGAGCAGGAAGAACATAAGAGTGCAGTTGCGAAGCTTGATTCCGAAGTAGCACGACTGCAGAAGGCTTTACTTGATAAAGTTTGTTTGTTGTTGTACGTTGATGAACACTTAGTACACTTCTAGTTTACTTTTAAAATTTTTAGCAACGTCTTACTGTTTTAGGATTCTGCTGTAGAGTTACTTCAAGCCAATCTCACAAATACTCATAAGAAAGAATTGGCAAAACTTAAGGATGATTTTGACGAAAAACTCCGTAAAGAGACTGTCGTTCACAAGGACGAGCTGGATAAACTAAAAGGTGAATACGATGAAAAACTGAATATTCAAACGACTGCTTATAAGAAGGAGTTAGATAAGGTGAAGGATGAATACGACGGTAAATTGGGCAGTGGGACAAGTGCTCATAAGAAAGAGTTGGATAAGCTGAAGGTTGAGTACGATGAGAAATTGGACGATGAGAAAACTGCCCATAAGAAAGAGTTAGCTCGGCTAAAGGATGAGTTCGACGGGAAACTGAACGATGAGACAGCTGTACTTAAAAAAGAGTTGGCTAAAGTAAAGAATGAATATGAAGAAAAACTGAACAACGAGGCAACTACTTACAAGAGAGAGTTGGCTGAACTGAAGAGTGAGTATGATGGGAATCTGCATGCTGAAGCAGCTACTCACGAGAAGGAATTAACCAAATTGAAGGAGGATTATGATGGGAAACTACACGAAAAGGCACTACAGTTGGAGAAATTGCAGTCGAGTAACAGTATTTTATTGCAGGAAGTAAGCAAATTTGATAAAATTAATTTATTTTCAAGTTTTTCTAATTTAAGTTTTTTTTTTTTTTTATTTGCTTCTTTTCTTCCCCTACACAACTAGTAGTGCTATGGAACATTTTACGAAGAATTTTTTATTTTTTTGTTTTGCACGTAAAAATCTATTTTTATCGTCAGAACTGCACAAATTTCTACCTAAAATCCGATGTTTCTCTTACATTCTTTACTTATCCTAATTTTTTTGGATTGATGATCTTAACAGCCAAGCAGAATTTATACTTGAACCTAAACTGATTATACAGCAAAATTGCTTTTCACTGATTGTTTAATAACTATTGTTCCTTTTGGAATGAAGAGTATTGTTTTTACTACAAGAAAGAAAATTTGTTGAGGCTGAAAAACTTCGGGGACAACAGAGAACAGCGTTTGGACTTCCTGAAGAGGTAAATGCATTGCGGGAAAAACTGTCATTAAGAGAGACAGAAATTACTGGACTTAAAGAAGAATTATTAGCCGTAAGGGTTGAGAAGAATGAGCTAGCATCAGCGTTAACCAAAAAGTGTCCAGAAGAGAGTACGCTTCTGAGTAAAATGTCTGTTGTTGAGGATGAACTTTCAAAGCTAAAAAAATATATGCAGAAAACGAGTCAACACGTGGAAGAACATAGTAAGGGAGGGGATTTGGAAGAACAGCTTCTAATAGAACTCGATGATGCTCATCAGAACACCGTTAGCGGTAACAACCTGACATCTTTAAGTAGTGGAAAGAAACCTGACCAATTCGATTTTGAAAGTTCTGTTGATTTATTCAAGAGTTTAGAAGACGATCGACAAATCAAGAAGAAAGACAGGAATGTTACGGAAACGAATGAACTAGGATCTTTTCTGGAAATGCGGGATTCTTTTGCGGATATCTTAGCTTTGAGTGATTCGGTAGGGAAAGATGTCTCTCTTGGGCCTGGTAAGACGTTACCGAAATTAGGAGAGCGAAAAAGCAGTACATTCATTGGTGAACTAGAAAATGGCAGTGCTGTAGAAAATATTTCTTTGCTTGAACTTAATTATGACTCCAAAATTGGTCAACAACTGGAAGAAGCCAAAAAACAATTGGAAGAGCAGAAATTACGTTGTGAGGAATTAAAAAAATCTCGGGATCTTGCTGAGGGGACTGTTTTACAGCTGAAGCAAGACGTGAAGGGGCTGGAAACTGAGGTTATTAGGTTAGAGAAGTCAAATAGTGTGGTTATCACTGAAAGACGGGATTTGGAAACTGAGCTTAAAAATACAAAACAGGCTTTGTTAGTTGAAATCGAAACGAATGCGAAGTTGAAAGAAGAGGCTTTCCAATCGAGTGATAAAGTTAAACTTGCGGGTGAGAAGACAAGATCTGCTGAGAAGGAGGTGTTAGAGCTGAAAAGTGCAAAAATTGAACTTTTGACAAAAAATAGAGATTTAGAGAAGGCTTTAAAGCAATCAAATAGTATGGCCGCGAATTTGGAACTTAAAATAAAAGAAATGAAACATGCTGCAGAAGTCGAGAAGACACATCAGGAGACCTTCGATATCATCTACTCAGAATTTATAGAGCTGAGCGTGCAGCTTACGAACTGGAAGCAAAACGTGCTAGGTAAAGGAGCTGGACTGTTGACTGTTGCACATGTAATGAACAGTGCTAGAAAAGAAGCATTTGACTCAGATCAGTCGACTATAGTAGGAGATGAAGTCCTCCGGAAACGTTTTTCTGACGGTAGCTTTAGTAGTGAGGAATCGAAAGTTGTTAGTGAATTTCCTTTGCAAGTAGGCACAGAAGACGGAAGTGTAGAAGAACGAAACCAGGATGACGACACTGTAATCCGCCAGTCCTTTATCGACAAAGTGTTAGCTCGGTTCATATCTAATAATTTGAAGTCGTTTGCTGAAGTTATTAAATCAGTTGTCGAGCATTTGCAAAAAGAGGGTAAAGAAAAAGCGTTGGAACTGGAAAAGCTTACTAGGCTTCTGGAAAAATCAAAACTGGATACGGATGCAGAAGTAAAAAAGGGTTTGAAACTGCAGGAAGAAAACAATTTTCTAATAGAAGATAACAACAGGTTTGAAGAACAGTTAAACAAATATAAAGCTGACATCAGTAGGCTAAAAAAAAAAGATGAAGAGGAGATGGCAAGACTGGGAGAGGCGGAAACACGACTGATGAAGAGTGAAAAGATTGCTAACGAACTTGGTTGTCGGCTTAAAAAGTATTCGGAGCAATTGGGTGATATCACTGTTGAACGTAATCGGTTAAACAGTCAGTTAGATTTCTGGCAAACGGAGTTTGAAAGACTGAAAGCAGAAATTGGAAAAGGTGCACAATCTGTTAAAGATGACGGTTTTCAAAAGGAAATGAAGGACATTCCAAGGTATGCAGTAACGCTGCTCAATTACAATGCAAATCTGAACTTGTTTCGGACTTTTTATCGTTTTTTTTGTAAAGTATCGATGAAATAAGTGTGGAATTCTTCAGCTTTGTACGAGACAAGTTTTGATTACCTTTGTGCTTGATGCTTTCTGTCAGCAACATATCGTCATCTCAAAAATCTCAAAAACAGGATAAATTTTTTTGAACTTGATTGTTTTCTATATTAGGAAGAATATGCGGCTTCATGTATGTTGAATTTTGGTTGTGGAAGTTAATTTTTGATTCTACCGTTTTTTGAACAGTATTGCTTTGCTAGACGTTGTCTGTGTTAAAGCTGATTTTTTGGAAAGACGAGAGTTAGTCATATTCTTGTTGTCGCTGAGCAGTTTGTGACCGCTAACGTTATCTTAATAAAGGCCGTCTGCTTCTACCCTTGACAAAGCTTGTTCGCTTGAAGAGGTGCTGAGCCTGTAATGCATAGCCTACAAAACTACAGACATCCTTTAGAGAATTCGCTGATAACGCAGCTTTCGTTAAAATAAGGACCAATGTAGAGGAGGCTAAAAATATGCTAAAGGCGGAATTTCAAGAAAAGCGAAAAAAGATATCGAAACTTGAAACTGATTTAGCGGCTGTGAAAGGTGAAAAGGAGGCTGAAATGACGAGCATGAAAAGCAAGATCAAAGTGTTTGAGGTTCCCGATAAATTCTTTGGTTCTCAATCTATTCTTTTTGTTTGGCCTGTTTTGTACTCAAAACTTTTCAAGGACTTTTTTGAAGGTTGCATATCTTGTACCTTTTTTTTGTTCTGTTTTCTTCTAGGTGGAAGAAGCAAAAGCGTTAGCAGCAAGTAAGAATTTCGATCATGAGAAGGAAGAGATGCAAAAACGTATTGATGAAGCCTGTAAAGCTGGTAGTGAACTAGAGGAGAAGATTGTAATACTGAACCAAAACTTGGAAGCAAAAAATGCGGAAGTGAAATCAAAAGGTTAAAATAACTCAATAAGAGATAATTTATTTATGCTTTAAATGCATCTGTATTTTTTCTTTTCTTCAGATAAGTTAAAACTTCATATTTAAATGTAACAGAGATTTGTTTTTAGAGGAGAGGATCACTGAATTGGTGGCAGAGTTAGCTGCAGAAAAAGCAAAAAGTGAAAATTTGGCAAAAGAATTGGCATCTTCCAGTGAAACTGCAGTCGGAAAACAAAAGGTTTGCTAAATCTAAATCTGCATGCTGATTCAAGAGAAAAGTCATTAGCATTTTTATACACTTCATTGCTTAATAGGATTCAGGAACTGAAATTGTATTTTGTTGGCGCAAAAGAAAACTGACATTTGTTTGACGAACGATTTTTTTAGTAGTCGAGATGTGTATATTTTTTAAAAAAGCTGTTATTCCGCAGTTCTTTGGGGAAGGTAACAGAGAATACAGTCATTCTGGTTGCATCCCAGTGAGATTTAAGCGTTAAATTGAAATTTTTACCATTCAACGCAAAGATGAATTGTATGCTTTTTTTGGGTTGTAATTAGATGTTTTTAGTGTTAAGAGTTCTTGTAACAGTGCTTTTTAGACAAAACCAAATATTCGTGTTTTATATTTATCATTTCACACTGAGTCAGTTCTCTGCTTTCTTTGATGATTCCTTTATACATCTTTTGGCGAAAAGTGCATCAGTAGTTGAATTCAAAAATTAGTTTTTTTTCTTTGTTTTTTCACTTTTTAAACATATTAAGTGTTAGTACAAACAGTTATTATCTTTTGATTACCTTATGTATGATTTTTTTTATTATGTGCCAAAATAACATTATATAATGGGTTTTTTAAAGTTTTTTTATAAAATGCAAATTCTTAATTCTGTACAGTATTTTTAATTGTGGTTTTACTTTCAGCTTATTCAGATTCTTCGTACTGTTCTATCAGTAACAAGTTTTAGGGCGTCAAAAAGCGTTTAAAGCCATATAAATACTAATTTTGTAAAAGATTGGTAAAAGATTGTTTCTGAAGTTAAAACAACTTTAAGTAAATTTTTTAACTTAGTCATTGAAAATATTGAAGAAGTAGTCTATTTCTCAGCTGGGAGAACTTGAAAGCTGTTTCCCAAACAGAACTTGTTTCTACTGAATAATGTATGGCTTGTGGCTACCGTAATAAGCATACTTTTTGCTTATTTAAAAAAAATTTCAATAACATGTTTTCATTCTCGGGTGACATTTTATCACCTTTTTCTGTCTTAATAGTTTTTATTCAAGGTAGACGAGTTGACGGCTGAAAATGCTCGACTTGCCGGTGAATTATTGAAAATGCATAGTGCTAGTGATAAGGAAGACGCTCAACGAACATTTGAGTTTGAAAAGAAATTGAAGACGTGTGAGGAAACTTGGACCAAACGATTGCAAGAAAAAGAGCAGAATCATTCTAAAATGATAGAGGACTTAAAAAAGGACGTTGCCAGAAGGACAAAATTACGCGATGAGGAATGGGGCCGTAAGGTGGAAGTGGTTTTGGCGAAAAACAATAGTGAAATAGAGGCTTTAAAGCGTGACAATGAAGCGCTATTAGCGGAAAGGGATAAACTCAAAGCGGGTCGTAAAGATAGCTTGACTATGAGGTTATTCCCTTTTTTGGATTGATTGACTACATTTTAGGCTGCTTACCTGGTAGTCAAAAAGACAGTCTCTATGGATGTTTTTAGAGCAGTGTTTGTGAAACAGATTAAGTGCTGAAAGTTGATTAAGTGCCTTCTTGCGGACTGCAGGTTAAATGCTGTGATGTATACTGAGGAAGTAATGAGCTAGTGGTGGCTTGGAATTTTTTGTCAAAATCCTTAATGATTTTAAAAAGCTTGATTTACTTTTATTACGCAATATCTTTTTCATTTACCACTTAATTTGAGCCCAAAGCTGCAGTTTTCACCTTAAATGATGCAATGTGCAAAGCATATTTACTTTATAGCAAACATTTGTTTTAAGTCTTTTAATATTTACATTGTTACGCCACACTAAAGCAAGTGTTTTATAAGCAGTTTCTGTGGATAATTTCAGTCAGTCATGGTTACCAATTTTTCTGCATTTTTTTTAAAGCCTGATTTATCCTGTGTTCTGTAGTACTGAGCAGTAGTCTACTTGTAGAGATAGTGATTTCCATGAAATGAAGGAAAAGTTAGCAGAGGCAGAAAAAGAGAATCGTCGATTGAAGGGACAGATCGAATCTGCAGAAGCACAAATCAAAGATCTGTCTAAGTTAGTCTTATTGTCAGTTTATTTATTTTGAAAAAGAAGAATGTGCGAATTTTGATTTGATGTCTTATATTTGTGTTCTGACATTGCACTTATTTGTTAATAATGTTAGGGCAAAACAGAATGGAATTTCTCCGGTTCCACCACCGCGTCGGATGCACGCTGCGAGTGATATCAGTGATATTTCTGCACGATCAGAAACGCCAACTGGTCTTGAAGAGGAGAATAAGAAATTAAAAGCCGAAATTGAAAAGTATGTTGAAATTTTTGTTACTGTTCAGCTTTTGCTGTCATTTTCACCTGTAGAGCAGGTAAGAATAAAAGAAGCATTCATTTGAATTTTGTAAGTTTCAAGTAAGGTGTTGCTAAGTTTTCTTGTAAAAGAATGACTCTTCAATAAAAAAAGTGACTCTTTGATGCTTTTTTTTGATCGACGACGCTCAAAAAATTTGTTCGGAAATTATATTTTTTCTAAAATCTGAGTATATTGAGAAGGCGCAGAAATGTTGCTTGGTTTTATGCAAGGAAAAAAGTTGTGAGAAAGAAGGAAAGAAAAAGGCATTAGTGGTTGGAGGTTTAGTGCAGTGACTTTCTCAGCCATGCATATGAAGTGTTTGCACAACATATTAACATTCCTGTGCAGTGCCTCTTCGGTATTCCTTGTCCTCCTCCTTTTTTATACGGCCAACGGCGCAGATTGCCTTCTTGGAACGTAATGCACTACATTGAACTCGTTTTCTTCACATCCTTCCCATCTCTTCCAATGTTTACTTTTTTCTTTTGTTTCATATCTGTTTCTTGTAATTTCCGCATCAGAACTGTTCATAGTGAATGAACAGATCAATGGAGGGCATTAATGGTTGAATGAGTGAACGGATAAGACGTAAGACGTTTGCTAGAAAATGTTCGCTAAATACAGAAGTTACAGATGTGGGGCATTGTTCCAGAGAATCAGCACATGTATAAATAGTTGGTACTGTAATTAATTGTTCGGAAACTGATATATAGTTACCATAATTGTAATGAGTATTTCTTTTTAAACTTCATTTATGATTTCGGTATGAAACTGGAATAGATCTAGTCAGATGCATGAAATTCTTTTTTGCTTTATTACTTTTTTGCCAGATAACATGTAAACGTTTAAAAAATATAGGCTTAATTACAATTCTGACAGATTTTTAAAGCAATTTTTTGTATTTCTAGTCTTCTTAAAAATTAATTTTACTGACAAAAAATTTTTTTTTGTTTTTGAATTTTGGGAAAGACCATTTTTTTGATTGTTTAAAAAACATTGAAATAATTGTTTAGTTGAAAATTGGGAGTGTTGTGTGATCTGCATTTGTTACTTTGAATAATTAATTAAATTTTCGCAGAAAACTGTGTCTCAGTTTCAGCGACGTTCTGTTTCGCAGGAAAATAGACATTTTCTTAGTTAGACTTCGGTGCTTTTGTATAACTGGGAAGTTGTTTCTTCCAAGGTTTTCTTCTGTATTTTTGGTTTATTTCTACTTTTTTGTCTTATTTCCACCAAGACCAAAAAAGAATTGAAATCTAGACTGCAGAACAATACAGGAAGAATAGGATACACCATAATCTGTGTTTGAAATTGTGTTAAGGTGGGCTACAAGTCAACTGTATAGAGATTTCGAATTTTACTTTACTGTTGATGCCTTGCTGAAGTAAATTTGGATTTTTTTCGGTTTTTGAGTTTTCTGGACTATATGTTTGTCAAGGATTTTCTGTGCCAACACAATTTTTGTTGACGGTGCCAGTAGAAGTAGCGATAATGGTATTGGTCATATCCATATTGGTAGTAACAAGAACGGCAGTAATAATAATATGCTAAATTGCAGTATTTGGAAAACTAGAGTTAATTTTGGGACGTTGTTTAGTATATGATTAACACCGTTGGGTTGAATGGAAAAATGAAGGGGGAAATGAAAGGAGGATGAAAATTGGTGCAAATTGTAGTTGTGTGACATAAGTACTTTTTATTTTTTTTATTTATTGCATTTTTTGTGTAGCAAGAAGAAAGTAGAAACAAAAAAGAAAAAAATGAAATAAAATGAAAGAGCAAAAAAAGCAAAAGGATAGGAAACGACCACAGTATTGTTGTATTCTCCACTTACAAAAGAAAATTTTTGTAGTAATAAACCAGGATTAAACTGTCATTTATTTTAATTGTTTTTTTTCAACTTTTTTAGAAAAGAAAAAGATTTTTTACTACAAATTTACAGCAATTTAATTGTTATTATTAACAATAAAATTGTTTTAATTCATTGTCGTTTAAGGTCTTTATCCGTTCATAATAATGTTATGATGATGACAATTATTTTTAGTATTCTTATTAATATTTTTGTTATAATTATTACTTTTATTGGGCTTTTCCTCAATAGTCTTTTCTATACAATTAGCATTCAAGCGTATTGATCAGATATTAAATTTTTTAATGTTTTACCCTTATTTTTTAGGTTTTTTGTTCCTTCTCATTGTTCACTTTCATTTTTCCCTACAAATTTGTCGCTGTTGTCGTTGTTGTTGTTTAGCATAGGTGAAAGGGAGGTATTGTTTAACAATTAGTCAGGTGGGAGACGAAAAAGGGTAACAAAAATCTGCTTAAGGAAGAAAGAAATAATAGATTACAACAGCAACAGCAGCAACAAAAACGGCAGCATTAGCAGCAACATCGACAACAGCAAATAAAATTTGAGTAGGTTTTTCTGGATTCGGAAATACTTTTTTTGTTTACGCAATCTAAACGGATTACAAGTTGAGGCGGTATATTGAAAGCATCCAATTTTGCACTTGTTTACTTCAGCTGCATCAACGACAACCCTCTTTTCTCACACAAATAAAATGTATTACAGAAGGATAGATTGGCATATAAATGTATCAGTCAGAAATATGATGGAACTATTATGTTATATATATTTTCTTTGGATGATTTTTGTAGCTTAAACTTATAAAAAACAAACCGCATTAATTCAACAGCATTTTAGTGGTTGAATTTCTTTGGTGCCAAATGCCGTTATTCGTAATGAGTTACAAAAAATGAACTTTTAGTTCTTGATATAAAGTCGTTTCCTAATAGCAACATCTAACTATCCAGTGTAATAAGCCTTATTGTATTCTGTTTTCTATCTTTTTCAGTCTTCAGGTGTTAGTCTTTTCTTAGTCAGGCTTTCTTTTCTTTCTTTTTCTGTTTTTCTTGAGAGTAAAGGGGATAAGGGAGGGAAGGTTGAAGGACAAAGGAAAAGTTTGGTTTTTTTGTTTTATTAGAAGTATAGCCATATCTTGATGCATTTGCAAAGCACACTTGATATGTTCAAAAAGAAAGTTAATTTTGAAAAGTACAATATTAATGAGAATATATTTGGTTGTGAAGAAAAAGGGTTATAAAAAGAGTGCAAAAAAATTTTTGAGTGCTCAGTGGGGGTAAATTGATAGGAGGAATTTTTTAGTTTTAAAACAGTGCAGAAAAAGAGATGAGAAGAAGGAGGAATAAAAAACTAATATAAGGAATAAGTATTTGACACACAAAAAAAATTTTTTTTGATTAAGAATTCTTTGATGATACCGAAATTATTGGTGGTAAAAAGGAGTTGACAAGTTTGTTGAAGAAAAAGAAAGGGTTGGAGAACTACAGCCATTTTCTGTATAAGATATTATTTCTTTGAAGCAGTGCGCATATAGTATATATTAAAAGAAGAACAAGAAAAAAATTTTTTTTTGTCTTCTTACAACAATCTTTTTTTTTTTAATGTTCAGGTAATAAACGAGCCGCGAATCATAATAGATGTTGGATAGACGGATTTTGTTGATGATGATTCTGTTAAAGATTATAAATGCATTCATAAAGGTGTACATTAGTTTACAGTATTCCAGCTGTCTGTTGCCTGCGTATGTCTGTGTGTGTATCTGTGTCTGTGTCTGATTTTATGTGTATCTATGCATATAACGATTGAGGCTTAGGTTGTTGTTGGTGATGATGAGTGGTGGTTGTGATGATGATGACGATGATGATGATGATGATGATGGTGATGGTGGTGGTGGTTTTGGCGCTGGTGATATATATGTTGTGATACATTTGGAGAAAGGTACCGTAGCACACATAAACTGTCTCATTATCGCCTTATGTATTGCATCTCATAAATTTTTTAACAAAAAATATTTTTTGCATTATTCATGATTCAACAAACAATAACTCGTCGTTTTCGGAGTATACTGTAAACCGTAGGAAAAAAAATAATTTTTTTTGTTTCCAACTTTCTCT